AAAAAAAAAAAAAAAAGAGTGAATGGAGAGTAGCTACCCTATTGTTTAATTTCTCTTTACTGAGTGTATCTGAATCCTAGAAAACCTACCTTTCATCCAAGCTTGCTCATGATAATAAAAGCACACCCCTCTGCCCTGCCACCACACTCTCACAGGTGATATTCACCCACACACACACACACTTACCTCCTCATTCTGATAGGCTGTCACAGCTATGAACTGGGTTTCAGGGAAGGAGCAGTTCATCACCATTCGATGGGAACCGCCAACACGTACTATGTGAACCTGGGGCTCATATTTATGCAGAGAATTCAACATTATCTGTTGAGTGGGAGAAGAAGAGAAAAAGAAGAAAAGCTATCACAGGTGATAGATAACAAACATCCTTGGTTAGTTGTAAGCTCAGTGCCCACTGAGGTTGGAGACACACACCCTCCAGTCCTGGGTCACCTGAGCTACCACCACACCTCTCAGAAATGGATGGGGGAATTTTTTTCAGAAGCTCCCAGGAAGTATAACTTTCAGGAATAAGGAGTGAGTTGCCAGAGAAGACCTGTTCTAAAGAGTGTTCCATTTTCTGTCAAAATGTTGGCTTCCTTTTTTTCCTTCTTCTATTTACAGCACAAGAATTTAGATTTTGATCCATTAAAACAGATTTTTTTCCTCACTTGAGGAATCCAAGTCCCTGGGTGGTACAGCATTTATCAAACTTGGCTGTCAACCAAAAGATTGTTGGTTTGGACCCACTCAGAGGTGCCTCACTAGAAAGGCCTGGTGATCTACTTCTGAAAAACAGTCATTGAAAATCCTACGGACCACAGTTCTTCTCTGACATACATGAGGTCATCATGAGTCAAAGTCAACAGAAATTGGAAAACGTCTCAAAATACTGACAAGAGCTGAATTTCGCAATGGACTACCTGATGAGCAATGCCATCTGATATCTGGTGGTTATTTTTTATTATTCAAATGAAAGGTTTATTGAAAGTCTCTTGTGGTGACATGTAATAGGTAATAATAGTTTACTTTCCAATTTCCTGTTTTAATTAAGGGGGAAAAAAACTGGAATCTTCTGAATGTCAAAAAGACTGGGTGACATTACGTTCTCCTCCTCAACCATGAACTCTATGTTCCTCCTGACTCAGCACAGAGAGCTCAAAGTTGTTGTTGTTAGGTGCCATCGAGTCAGTTCTGACTCACTGCAACTCTATGTACAACAGAATAGAGGAGCACAAATTGTCCAGGCTAAGAGGCTGCCCAAAGCCAGGTGTCTGGTGCAGGCAGGAGAATCAAGACCTTTTTATCACAGCCATGTCTTCAACCCCCAGAGCACAGCCTTCATTTTATAAAGTAACCAACAGCCTCATACCACACACTAGTATTCACAATACATCTAAGAAAACAAAAGGAGGAAAAAGCCCCCCAAAATCTTGTTTACTTTAATTGGAGACCTTAAATAAAACCTTCTTTATTTTAAGGTTTGCTTGGATCTTTTTTTCTTTTTTTTTACCAAAGCTGATTCAATATTCTATTGACAATTATCATAATGCCCAAGTGGAAGTAGTAATTATTTCTTTTAGGAGCAGCTTTTTATTAAGGTATTTGTCTATTGCCAACATGCCACTTACACCAGAAAAGGGGGGAGTGAATAACAAAACCCTGGTATCCACAAAGATCTCCTGCCCAGGTCTGGGTAAAAAGCACCATACACAAGACAAAACTATGAAAAGGACCGTGATAATTAAGTAAACTACTGCACTCTCTCTCACTCTCTCTCTTAACATCAGGAAGTCCATTAAAAACTGAAAGCACCAATTAAGAGCTGTTTATTCCTGTTTACATTTGGACTCCAGGGAATAATTGGCTTCTATGGAAGAAGAGGTTGATGAGGACCTCTCTAATTGCCTAAATGCACCCTTGATATGTCTTGATTGGTGCTGTGGGGTGGTTAGGGTGGGTGGCCAGGTGACCTGATCATACCTGCCCGCCTCCGTTGAGCTTGTTGGTCAGCTTCACTTTGCTGAAGGAGATGGGAGCTTTCATCCAGTGGGCCCCAAAGTTGGGAGAGTCCGGGTGGATGTAGACGCAGCTGTGGTTGGAGACCTCCGGCTTGCCTGCAGGCACCCACTCCCCATTGACGTATTTCCAGCGGTGACCATCTGTTGGGACAAAGTCCAGCAGCAGGGAGTACATGGCATTGGGGTCCAACCCGGTGACACTAATCTTTAGGACAGGGAACATCCTCCTGAAAGAAAATGCAGAGACTTGACTTAGCCACAGGAGGGATATTAGTGAGCTCTTTCTAGAGAAGTTTCTCAACTTTAAGACCACCTTCCATGGAGTACCTCAAGACTCTGCTAGGCATTATGTTTATTCAGTCAGGAAATGCCTGCTGCTTTTGCTGTTGTTAGCTGCTGTAGAGTTGGCTCCTGATTCATGGTGACCCTCAATTCATGGTGAGCCCATACACAATGTAATGAAATTTGCTTTGTTCTGAACCATCTCCACATCAGTTGCAGATCATCCATAGGGTTTCCACTGCCTGATTATTGGGATTAGATCATCAGACCTTTCTTCCCAGCACATCTTAGTCTGGAAGCTCTACTGACACCTGTTTAGCATCATAACAACACACAAGCCTCCACTGACAGGTGGTGGCTGCACATGAGGTGCATTGGCTGGGAATTGAACATAGGTCTCCTTCATGGAAGGCAAGAATTCTACCACTGAACCACCACAGCCTCCCAGAGAAGGCTTAAGGAAGGTAGAATAATGCAGCCAACCTTAGCCCAGCTCAACCAGAGAAGCTCTTTATGGATGCATTTTATATTGGAGTTTCACTTTAAAACATTGTGCTTCATTTTCAAGTTTGAAAACCACTGATCGAGTCACTTAACAGAGGAGGAAACCGAAGCTGAAAGTGTATAATTAGATGCTAAGTTGTCAGAGAGTTTCTTTTGTACCATTCACCTTTTGGTTAGTGGCTGAGCACTTAACTGTTGCACCACCAGGGGGCCTTTGAAATATCATTAAGTGAGATATAAAAATAGTTACAAAGCTGAACATAAATCTGATCCTAATTTTAGGAGGAAGGAAAGAAAGAGCACTGCGTACACACATAGTTTGATTTTTAAATGCCTCTTTATAGGGAAAAAAATGGTGAAATATTAAAAATCTCATGTGTTCAGTATCATATATAGAAAAAGAATAGAAAGAAATATACCAAAAAGGCAACAGTGACTACTTCTAGGTGAAGGTTAATGAATTGTTTCTTATTTTCATGGTTTTGCTTGTTGCCAATCATCAGAACCCCCACCTGTCATCAGTTTGTCAGACTGTGGTGGCTTACATGTTGCTGTGATGCTGGAAGCATTGCTACCAGTATTTCAAAGACCAGCAGAGTCACTCATGATGAATGGGTTAAGAAAGGCCTGGAAATCTCTTCCCAAAAATTAGTCAATGAAAATATTATGGATCAAAACAGAACATTGTCCACTTGTTTTGGACATGTCATCAGGAGGGATAAACTGCTGAAAAAAGACATCATGTTTGGTGCAGTAGAGGGCCAGCAAGGGCATAGGAGACTCTTGGTGATATAGATGAGAATGGAATAATAGCTGCAACAATGGACTCAAATATGTTTGTAGTTGTGAGGATGATACAGAACCAGACAACATTTCATTGCTGTACATAAGTTGTTGTGAGTTGGGGTTGACTCAAGGGCAGTTAATGACAGCAACAATAACACAAACTAACAATAAAAGTTTTCTAAAATAATAATGGTTACTATTTAGAGTTCCTTGACAAAATTCTAATCCCCAAACTTTGTTCCTCGCTATATATATAGTTAGGATTTTGTCAATTTTCACAGCACAGTCTGGTTGTCTGCTCTCTCAGCACACACTACTTGACTCCTTCTGTCCTCTGATGGTCAATGTGTGATTGCGTTTATAAGGAGAAAGAATCCTAAAGGAAGTTCAAGATGGAGAGTAAGATTACTAGCGGCTCTACATAGCCCTAGGTTTGGAAATAACAACATTCAGTCTCTTTAGAATGACTTTTTCCTTGGAAGCTGGTCACAGATGCTAGACTATCCATCCTGGGCAACCAATGAAACATGAGAAAATTAAGAAGACTATTTTGGTTTGATTTGGTCCAATAAGACACAGAAGTCACTTCAAAATCAGGTTTAATATTTTCTCATGACCAAGAGGGGGATATGTGTTAAAATAGGGAAAACATAATGCCTAGCAGAACCTTTGGTACATGATATGGATTCAGTAAATAGTTGTTGAATGGATGCTGTCCCTGGCACCTCTTCTCATCAACTCCCTTCAGAAAATATCACCTTTCACATGCTGACAAGGTCCCCTGGAGCATTACCTCTGAGGTCTGCTTAGTTTTCTTCAAAACTTAAATTTCTCCTAGTTCCCTGGTTCTATCAAAACTCACCATGTTGCAGTTTCTGAGGCTGCTTTTGTACAACCAAACACCTCAAAGGATTTGGTTTCTTGGCTTGGATATTTGGGGTCATGATTTCATGAGATATCACAGATAATTGGCCTAATATCATGTTTAGTGTTTCTATTCTAGCTCCTAGTTCATTACATAGCCTTAAAAGCTTGTAAGCAGCCATCCAAGACACTACAGTTGGCCTCTATTTGCCTGGAGCATCAGAAGACGACTCAGGAACACAAAGAGGAAAGGAGTATGTGGCTAATTTCCTCCATGAATAACTGTATCCTCTGCCGTGAGACCAGAAGAACTGGATGGTACTTGCTACCATTACTGAACATTTTGGTCAAAGATTCTATAGAATGTTGATTAAATTGGGGAAAATGCAGAACAGAATTTCAAATTCTGAACTTTCTGGAGCCATTGAGGATGGGTGAACCCCTGAAATAAATAAATAAATAAATAAATATTGCCCTGAGATAATCTTTAAACTTTAAACCAAATATATCTCCTGAAGTCTTCTTCAGTCCAAATAATAATCTAGCTTAATAATAATCTAGCTTAATCAAGAATGTCTGTCTTGAGTATTGTGGTCTTTTAAAGAACTATCTATATGGGATCAAATTGACAACAGCAATAGAAATATTAGATAGGAAACTTAATGGGCAGTGATTTTATGTTAATGGGAGAGGAATGACTCAGAAAAAGGAAGGTGACAGTCATTGTGCAATTTGAAGAATGCAATCAATGTCAATGAATTGTGTGTGTGGAAATTGTTGAACTGGTGCTTTTTCCATAGTGTATATTAAAGAAAAAATATATATACTATTTTAAAAAACTCACCATGTTACTTTCACTTCAGAATAACTACTTTGCTTAGGTCTAAGAAATTAGTTCATGCTAAGGAACCATCTTAGGAGCTCTGGTAGCATAGTGGCTAAGACACTTGCCTGCTAACCAGACGGCTGGCAGTTCAAACCCACCAGCCACTCCTCGGAAAGAAGGTTGGGCAATCCTACTTCCGTAGTGATATTGCCTCGGAAACCCAAGGAGGGGTCGCTATGAGTCGGGGCCGACTCGACGGCACATTACAACAACAACAACAAGGAACCATCTTACTCATGAATCATCTGCCAGGAGTAAAAAGAGATCCATTCAATATCCTCACCTGAAAGACAACTTCAACTCTCCTTTCACCATGTGATGGCCTGTCACAGCTACCTTCAAGGCACCCAGTGTTCAGAGGGTTCCTTTCCCATCAGGTGATAAGAGACCTAAAAATGTCCATCATTCTCATTCTCACGGAGGGCCTGGTAGGTGAATAAGTCAGCTGGAAATATCCCTTCCTCATTCAGCCTCATAGGTTTGTTGCAAGATCTCAGTAAGTTCATTCCTGTAGAGGGTTTATTACAATGCCTGTCATCTAATAAGTGCTCTGTAAGTGTACACTGTTGTTATATCCAAGCCCTTCAGCTGGCCCAGACCTCCTTCTATTCTCAAATCTTACCTTGGGTTCATGACTCTAGAAGCTGGAAGCAAAAAGAACATCAATTCTGGGTTCCTTCCTCCTACGAAGCTGACAGGACCCACTTCTCTCTGTTTTTCTTTCTGGAGGTACGAAGTCTAAGAAGAACAGGCAGTAATTGCTAATGGACATGGGGCTTCTTTAGGGAGCAATGAAAATATTCTAGAATTAGATAGTCATGATGGTTACACAACTTTGTTTTTGTTAGGGGACATTGAGTCAGTTAGCAACCCCATGTACAACAGAGTCAAAACATTGCCTATTCCTACACCATCCTCACAATCATTGCTATGCTTGAGCCTATTGTTGCAGCTACTGGGTCAATCCATTGTATTGAGGGTCTTCCTCTTTTTCATAGACTTTCTGCTTTCCCAAGCATAATATTCTTCTCCAGGAACTGGTTCCTCTTGATAACGTGCCCAAAGCAATGAGATGAAGTCTCACCTTTCTCATTTCTAAGGAGCATTCTGGCTGTACTTCTTCCATGATAGATTTGTTCACTCTTCTGGCAGTGCATGGTATATTCAATATTCTTTTCTAATACCGTAATTCAAATGTATCAATTTTTTTTTCATCTTTCTTATTCATTGTCCAGCTCTCACATGCATATAAGGCTATTAAAAAGACCATGACTTAGGTCAGGTGTAGCTTAGTCCTCAAAGTGATATCTTTGCTTTTTAACACTTTAAAGGGTTCTTTTGCAACTGATTTGCCCAATGAAATAACATTGTTTGATTTCTTGACTGCTTCCATGGGCATTGATTGTGGATACAAACAAAATGAAATGTTCAACAACTTCAGCTTTTCTCTGTTAATCATGATGTTCCTTATTGGTCCAGTTGTAAGGATTTTTGTTTTCTTTATGTTGTAGTGTAATCTATTCTGGGGGATGTAGTCTTTGATCTTTATCAGTAAGTGCTTCAAGTTATCTTCATTTTCAGCACACCAGCTTATGTCATCTGCATATCATAGGTTGTTAATGAGTCTTCCTCCAATCCTGATGCCATGTTCTTCTTCATATAGTACACTTTCTCAGACTATTTGCTCAGCATATAGATTGAATAAGTATGATGAAAGAATACAACTTTGAAACCATGAAGCATCCCCTCATTCTATTCGAATGACTGCCTCTTGGTCTATGTACCAAATGACCTCATGAGCACAATTAAATATTCTAGAAGTCTCATTCTTCACAATATAATCCATGATTTGTCATGATCCACACAGCCAAAAGCCTTTAAAAATCAATAAAACACACATAAACA